AATATTTTAGATCGATAGAACAGGTAAGGCAATGTGAGAGGTGAAATTTTCAGAAAAATCATGCTTTGCGTTTTCCAGAAACGTCTAACCTGCCATCGACCGTGAGTCATGATCTATTATAGAAATATGCCCTTCATTCCTCTTTTTGATTTCATAACCAAATAATCATATTATAAGTTTCAGTTGTTTACAGCTGAATTTTTTCAGAAAACAATCGCGATATTATAATGATGTATTATTCGAGCGAATGGCCAAATATCGCGAGTAGAATACTATACTTTTTCTATGACTTATAACAGGAATACCTTGAATTACGTTTTATTTGTGCGGGATATTTCGAACGAGAGAAATACCAATAATTTTCATAACAACCTGAAAAAGCATTCAAAAATATTTCCTACTCTTGTTATTTCATTCAATATCAAATAGTTGGAACATTGAATGGAAAAAAATGTCGTAGATGTGATTGAACGCAGTACCACTGATACTCAAGTTTATTGTTTCTCAGTACAAAAAATGCGGATTGAAAAGGCTCTGCATGATTTGTATATAATTTTTCAATTCAATTTGACAACTTTCGGTCCCCTAGTACATTGCTATATGAAAATATTGAATCGATTTAGCTGGGAAGTCCATGTTGATATTACGAATATTGCTGTAAATATCCAAGGTACAAAGTTGGTTGAAAAATCTGCATCGTTAAAAACAGAGACAGTTTTTCCAGTATAGTCATCTGTATTGATGGAGAAGTAGAAAGCCACAGTCGTTTTTTCACAAAAATCAATCTTCCCTTTTCAATAAATCGTGTATTTCCTCTGGATCGAATGAAATACCCCATGTGATCGTTAAACGTGTTCTTAAACATATTGTGACACCACTAGTCTATCTCATAAATTTATCATTTGCAAATGGAACATTCTCGCAAGCTTTGAAAACTGGTAAAATTACACCTGTATATAAAAAAGGTGATTCCTCTCTAATAAGTAACTATCGACCAATTACGGTACCCTCCATCTTTTCCAAAATATTTGAATTATCATTCTTGGAGAGATTGTTAGATAGGACCCCCCGTCTTCCCTTGCTCTTACAAGTCTCTTGAAGACTTCTGAGGGTTGCTCGTAGGGGTGTGACCGGTTGACGGAGGGAACAAATCTATTCAGTTGTTAAGTGGCTCTGCTGGTTATATGTGTATACTGATATATAAGTAGTAGATATATTAGATGTGTGAAACAGTTAGTGTTTACGGTTATGTGCACTATATATGTATGTATNAGAAAAGTTGTCGGGCAATTGTTGGAGATTCCAAAAATAATATTATATACAGAGTGTTCCATTTGAAAAATCAAAGTTGCTACTGCTTTCTAATAGAAGCGGCAACACCGCATTGTCGAAAATATTTTAGTTGGCTAGAGAATGTCCGAATATGCCCTCCATTAAATTTTCAAAGTGATTCGTTGTCTGGTTCACCAGAAACGTCTAATGTGCCATCCACCGTGAATCAGCCTGTATATGTATGTACTATAACAGTTTTTCAACCAGATCTAGCATTCATAAACATGACACAAGAATAAAAAATCAGCTGAATATACCCTTTTCTAGGGTCCAATTATCTAAAAATTCTCCAAACTCACTAGGTCATTCATTATTTAATAAATTACCAGACTATGTAATGGAGAATCGAACCTTAACATGTTTCAAAAAAAGTCTTAAACATTTTTTAATTGAAAGATGCTATTATAAAGTCGATCAGGCACTATAATAACTATTTGTAAATCCTTTATGATTTGTCTGTTATTTGTGTAAATATATGTATATATGTCTGTATATGTATATATGTGTTACACAATTATTCTATAGTATAGATGAACGACTATAATATATGCAAATTTACTGTTTTGTTGTATACAATTTAATTGAATGTTATCATGTTCTGTTAATTCTAGATGAACGGCTACTCCTATACAATACTTGTATTGTCCTTCTGGAGAATTATTATTATTACTATTATTATTTTAGTTTGTTCAGGAGAAGATATCCAAAGCAAAGAATACAAAGTCGATAGAAGCTCATACTGGCATTTTCGTGTATTTAAAATTTTCAGTATTTACCCTGACCACCAGACGGCGACGGCAGTACAATGACAATATTCAATGTGTTCACCAACAGATCTGGGTAGCATTCGCTGACAAAACAGTCAGCTTTTCAATTTAATTTAATTTTGACATACGTCTCGACTTGAATATGATCCGGCCGACTGTTTTTCTTGTCAGCGACGGCTAGCTAACCAATTCTGTTAATAATCACATTAGCTGACATCGTACTGCCATCGCCCTCTAGTGATCAGGGTAAGTACTAAAAAGTTTTCGACACATCGTTGTTTGAGTAGAAACGATACTATCACTCATAGATGGCGCCACAATGAACAACTTGCACGTTCATATCGATTTACCGAACATGTGTAACTGTTCTGTCACATAAGAATTGCTTTTTTAAATGTTTACATTTTGTAAATGATTTGAAATACGTGTGTGGAATCATTGTCCATGGGATAGTTGGGTGCATACTTTTTGGAATGTTTCTGTTTATAGAACCAGGTAACATTGGCTTTCATAAACATCAGAAGTGAATAAAGAATGACATTTTAGGTTTGCTGATTTTCGAGATTTGTTTACAACACTTCACAATAATGACATTTTCACCTCTGTGATCTACTTCTACCTCAAACTTCAAAAATGATTCTAAACATGAGATTTTTTTCTGAATTTGCTTAAGAGTTACATACATATTAATGAATTGTTTGCCTAGTAAAATGTTTATTGCAGTGAATAAATATCAAAACTGTCCAGGCGTCTGAACTTCCAAAATGTTTGCCAATATAGTGCAGTCATCTCGCTGGATACTCATGCAATGAATATGAATAATATTTATCTTTCTATATGACAATGCAACGGACATACTTTGCATAACTCTATTGTGAAATAAAGAAATGAATGCATTCAAAAATTGTCATGCTGCAAATGCATCATCAAGTCGATTGAATGTTACCGAAGTGAATTATTCAAATCGTTAATAATTGAATGAAAGTCATATCATGTCTGGACAAAATGGTATTTTAGTAGGGTTTGAAAGAGATTACTGAAAAAATATAAAAAAAATTCATGTGATAAAAATCATCTGATGATTTTTTATGATGTGAGCGATTTTGAATTTTGATCATTAGTGAAAAAAGTAATACGTTGAACATTTTTATTGAAGAAAATATATACGAATAACAATAATGATAATATGAAAAACTAGAAATAAAACTTTCTATGCTTTTATATCACTTTTATTTGTAACTAACGTTACGTAATACAAGGATATTTTCAATCGAATACAATAAATCTGTGAATCACTTTAATGAAATAAATAAAAACACTTTTATCTAATTTTCACTAGTTATTGATGAATGTAGCCGTTATTATATAAAATAAAAACAACAATTCGTCCTTGTATGTATAGACATGTAGGTAGATCATTTTCAAACGAATACAATAACTTTATTGTAATCGTCATTAAATAAAAATACAATAAACTTTGTTGTTTTCGTTCTTGTATGTATGTATAGACATGTAAGTAGGTCATTTTCACTTATGATGCGCTGTTTTGAACCTTTGGTGTAGTAATGAATATTACTGGAATTTTTTCCATACACCAAATCGTTATTTTTAACACCTCGACACGTGTTTCGATCACCAAGTGATCATCTTCAAAGAGGAAGATTAAACTAGAAACTAACGTGAAGCTAACGCTATTTATGCTATATAGATATCCCATACAGGTAAACCATCCAGGTGTACCACCCATATACCAACCTAAATTAATTATACAATTTTGCCTCATCTATTATTATACAATACATGTTTAACTGTTATAGCTGTATATAAAACAATTTTCAGCTACAGTAAGCAAAAAAACGAAATTAAACTAGAATAATAACCATCAAATATATTTTTTTAAATAGATCATCAGTGATAAGTTACCCGTATTAACAGCCGTCGTGTCAAAACACATCGCCCTGACATACTGAATAACACCCCATTCATTTAGTGTCGATAAAATAACTGATTTTTGATTGTCTGCCGTCCCAGAATTCATTTTTGGAACCCCAAGTAACTGTTCGGTACCAAATGCAGTTAAAA